TTCTTCTTCTTCTTCTTCTTCTTCTTCTTCTTCTTCTTCTTCTTCTTTTTTTTGAGACAGGGTTTCTGTGTTACAACTCTAGCTGTCCTGGAACTGACTTTGTAGACCTCGCCTCAGGCTCACAAAGATCTGACTGCTTCTGCCTTCTGAGTGCTGGGATTAAAGGCATGTACCACCTGGTTTATTCAGCTTTTTATTACGCCAATCACAACAAATATATCTTTATACAGTTTATAAATATCCACATTTTCCCCTCTTGTTAAAATATAAAAGGTTTTAAAACCCCCTAAATGATGATAAACATCCATAATTCATTGAATGACCAAAAACTTTCCACGCGATCTCTTGGGAATGTGGGTGCCCTGTTCTATAGACTGCTTCCTGTTGTCTGGGGTTGATGACATCTTTAGGGGACCCTGAGAAAATTAATATAGTGGTCAAATCCTAGGAAAATTAGCTGTATTATTTTTCTTTAGTTTCTGTGTGATGGGGAAGTGGAGAACTTATCTGGATAAGTCTTGGCTGGATAGTTTGTGAAGCTGGACCATTTTGACTAGCAGCTTTGAAACTGTTCTGGATGTAGAATTTTACAGAAACTGTAACAGGAATTTAGAGAGGCTGGATCACCTGGGCTACTTGTCTTTATTGGTGTCTTGTCTTTTTTTTTCTGAAAACACATACACTTTTAAAGGTAGTACATATATCTGTATTAACACAAGTATGGAATGTGCAGTGTCAAGAACAAGAATGTCAGTTCAAGAAGACTCTTTTGCTATGCTTGAGCAGGTAAAAGGCATCTGTTAACTTTATGTTTGTTCAAACTGTATAATCAAACCTCTCTCCATGCCATATGAAAGAGAGGTCATGAGGACTCTGTAACCAGCAGGGTTCATCATGTCTCATCCAGTCTCAGCGCTGTTCCTGTAGTAGAGGAATCAGCATATACATCACCTGTCCTGTAATCTTTCTTGGTTTCTTCTTTTTTTTTTTTTTAAAAATCTCTATAGCCAAGATTGTCAGGAGATCTCCCTCAATCAAATCTGATTTTTATTAATTCTGAAGAGAACCTTGGGCTTAGGGTTTCTGTGGAAACAGAGGCATAACCTCTTTTCCCAATGCAATATATTTTCTCAAATTAAGTTATTCTTAAAATATATAAATTGGATGTTGGGTGGTGTTGGCACATGTCTTAATCCCAGTACTCGGGAGGCAGAGGCAGGTGGATCTTTATGAATTCGAGTCCAGCCTGGTGTACGGAGTGAATTCCAGTACATTATACTGAGAAACCCTGTCTCTAAACACACACACACGCACGCACGCACGCACGCACGCTGGTTTTATTTAGCAGTTTCCCAAATCCAATGTCTCTCAGCAGTTATTGTTTTTCATGTTAGCATTTAAAAAGTTCAAAGTCAACAGAACACCATACAGGATCCAGACACCCTGTGTATTTCTCATTTTTATTTGGTTTATTTTTTATATCACTTTATAATTTTTTCAAAAACTGATATTTTAAAATTATTTTTATGAGTGTCTATACCCATTTTCTTTTCTTTCTTTAGCATCTAGGCACAGTTTTAAATAGACTATATCTGTTCAGAGACTGTCTTGGTCTGGACCTTACTCATAGCAGTCACACACTTGCAGTGTTCTCTGACACGTAAGCCCAACCTTAAACTGCTGTGTCAGTCACCACACAGCTCAGATCAGTGCTCAGCACTGGTGCATGGCACTGGCATCTGGCTTTAGCCCTCAGGCAGTGGCCAGTAGCTGCTTCTGTACGCTGATTACTGGCCCACCTGAGAGACTGAAGGACCAAGCAGCCATGTCTGGCTCCTTGTCCAGAGCTCTTCTTAATTTTCTCAGGTTCTGTGTTTGGATATTCAAGTCTCCAGGTTGGATGTCATATGTCGTAGATTTTTCTTTGTCTCCCCTGCCCACAAATAGCAACACAGGGACTTATTATTAATTATAAAAGCATGGCCTATAGCTTAAGCGTGTCCTTAACTAGCTCTTATAACTTAAATTAACCCATTTATGTTAATCTACATTCTATCATGTGGCATTACCTCTCTTCCTTCTGTTTCTTCTGTGTGTCTCCTGGCTTCTCCCACATGCCTAGATTCTTCCCCCTCTACCCTTCTCTCCCTGAATGTCCTGTCAATATCTCTTGCCTAGCTATTGGCTGTTCATCTTTTCATTACCTCAGTCACAGTACATGCACCTTCACACAGCGTGTGAATATCCCGTAATATGTCAGTACCATTCCTACTTCATACATTTTTCTGTTCAATCAATTGTTGCTGAGTCTGCTTTTTGGAAGAGGCATATCTGTCAATCCGTGCTACTTAAGCCTTTTCTATGACTACCCTGACTTGACAGGTTAATCCGCCTATCTTTGTTGCTTCCCTTCTCATTTAAAAGAGGCTTTACAATTTCTATCTTATATTCTGGAGTGTTTTAATAGTACATAACTCATGCTCCTAAACCAACCTCCCCCCTTTTCTCTTTCACTCTCAGTTCAGGTCACTCATACTGTCTCACACAGCGAGGACCCCGCCCCATCCCCTCTGGATCCACTCCATTTCTGTCTCTAATTAGAAAACAACAGGCTTCCAAGAGATAAAAATGACAAAATAATATATAAAAAGATGAAGCAAAAACTATTGTATCAAATTTGGGCATGACAACCCAACAGGAGAAAAAGACTCCCAAGAGCAGGGATAAGAGTCACAGATCCTTGTTCTCATAATCAGAAGTCCCATAAAAATATTAAGTTCATAGTTATAATAAATATGCAGAGGACCTGGTGTAGACCCATATAGGCCTTGTGCTTGCTACTTCAGTCTGTGTGAGGTCGTAAGCACCTTGCTTAGTTGACTCAGAGGACCTTGTTCTCCTGGTGTCCTCAAATCCCTCTGGCTCTTACAGGCTTTCTGCCTTCTTTGGAAATAAGTCTTTTAGTGTCAAAGAACCAACACAATTCAGACCACTTTCTGTAGTCATGATACCACAGCCCATAAATCCCTATTAAAAAGAAAAACTCTAACATGTAGTTTAAACATGGAATCTTAAACATATTTCCAAATAATTTTCAGATTACAAATATATGGAAAAAATCAAAATATTCATAAATTTAATGATAGCATGTTTGCTATCAAAATTTGTGAAATAATGGAATTTTACTGTTCAATACATATACTGAGAAATACACACTGAATGTCACTACACAGGGATCTCAAGGAGCTAGGAAAAGAGGAAGAAGAGAAATCTGATGATATGTAGGAACAAAGTCTGAGATTTTGTTAAAAAGCTACAAGTAATTAAAAATGGACAAAGAACTAAATCGGTGTAACCCTCCAAAGCGGTTCTGTAGATGGCCTCACCTATGACCCCTCCACCTTATCACCATCATCTAGTATTTGAGCACAAATTTATTTTAATATAAAGTCATTGCCATCTACTTGTCTGATTGATAGTAATTTCATTTGCTATTGTCTCTGACATGTAGTTTTTATCTTTCAAACTGCCTAGAGTTTTAAAATTTTTGTTTAGAAACATAAAATTTAAATGGAGTAGGTGCATGACTAGTAATAGCCGTGCTAGTTATATTAACTGAGATTTTGTAACTTTATAAATAAATATGGTAATGAAGCGTCTAGATTAGTACCTATATCATCTGAATCATTATTATAGCACAGCCTCTATGCCATTATGTTGACATCAACCAATAGTAACTGACATTTATTTTATCCTTCATCTGATGGGAGAAGTTATGGGGAAGAACCAACTCTGATAATTTGTAGATTTCTTGATTTCAACTTTAACTTAAAATTTATTAAGTTTTCATATCAGAAAAGCTCTGGGAAAATGTGTGTGATTATGAAACTTCCTTGTTTTAGGAATAACAATGTTATACCATAAATAGGTAATTGTCATGAAGATAAAGACATTATGAAGACCTTCCTGGCTTTAATTATGTTAGTTGTTGAGTAAAAACTGTAAGGAAAAAATCGTCTCTTCTTTTGTTTGTTAAAGTTCACAGAACCTGACATGCCTGGGGAAATAGTAGTCTCATTAGAAATAGCCAAGTCCAAGAGAAAGAATGCTGAAAACAGTGCATCATGCCAGCTTAATTCTGAGAAATCTAATGTATTTCTTCCCTTTCTTTTCCTTCCCCTGTTCTAATCCCCTGGGAGTAACAACTGAAACCCTGTCAAGGCTGTGCATAGTAAATTAAGTTTCACAGGGACCATTAAACTTTATTTTTAATTTCTCACTTGCAAGATTTGTAGGTACCTATTAACTTTTGCTTTTAAAACAATAGAACTTTTATTTTTAAGCTGAGAGAGGTTGTAATAAAGTTTTCACAGGAACGATTACATTTATTTTAAGATTTTTCTCTGGTAGGAATTGTAAATAACCTAATTAAAAAGTTTTGACTGTTGAAAGAAAAAACTTATTTTTAAGTTAAGTTTAAGGATATTTGTGCTCTGCTGCAGGATGAAGCTTCTCTGATGATAGATGAAGAAGACACTGTCCTATACAAATGTCCTTAGGAGTCATTTTATTGCTGTGTTCCTTTGGCAGAACAGTAGT